ACTATTTATTTTACGAGTCCCATGTAATTGGGGTTTTTTTAGGTATAGGAGGCAAACAAGCCGACAGTTCACCGGATGGTAAGCGATCAGCGCCACCAATGGACGCCCGCAACAGTCTATTATTGAAATATACCGGGCCCAATTCCAGACTTCGTGTTACTACTGAGATTTTTTTTAAAACTCAGTAATACTTTGCCCGACCCAAAAACTGAACCCGAGACCCCTTGCCTGGCAGTTGCACTTGCGACCACTCGGCCAATGACGCAGTACAAACATTGAAATCTGCATTATATATGTCCAGTTTTAAGGTCTAATTCAGCTTTGTCAATTATACTAAAACAGTATACAAAAACATTTATTAATTTCCTAAAATAATTTACCAATGTATTCCATACTTTTACAGTCTTCTCCAAAGCAAAAAGAACCTAACCCAGTTAGAAATAGAAAAGTCATTTGGAAGTAACATATGCAGGTGTACAGGCTTTCGGCCAATTTTGGATGCATTCAAAAATTTTGCAAGTGATTCAACGAATAAAATTGAACTAGCTGACATAGAAGACTTGAAAATTTGCAGCAAGACGAATAAACCTTGCGAAGAAGAAGATTGGTGTATGCTGTCAATGAGTGATTTGAATAAAAATGGTGGTATTTTGAAGATTAATCTGAAGGATGGAAAGGTTTGGTACAAAGCTAATAAAATAGCCGATATATTTAATGTATTGAAGACAGAAGGATGTGATTCATATAAATTGGTTTGTGGGAATACTGGTAGAGGTAAGAATGATTTTTTTGATTACAAATTGTTGTAGAAGAAGTTTATTTATAAGTGTCAATATCATCTCTTGATATCGCTCCTTTGTAATAACTATATTAATAATAACTATATTTTTATATTTTTAAATATTATTTTTATACTGTAGAGGTAGTATTTAAAAATGTAATTTTAGAGAAAGTTTAAATAAATATATGGATATATTAATAATGATTTATTTCGTCGTCAAATCAGTTGATTTCTGTACGGATTATGCTGATTTCTTGTCACGTCATGTTCTTCAACTTTATTGATGGCATCTATCAGTTGTTGTTATTAGTTAGTTGTTATTAGTTTTAAGCTTCAATTCACACACAATGTAAATTATTTTTGAAATAAATAAATATAAAATCTAAAAAAAATACGATCATAATGATTCTTGTTGAATATTTTATGGGTGATCAAGCTGACCCAATATCTGAAAGAATAACATTATAAAATGAAATAAATTTAAATTTACTATTAATAATTATTTATTATTTAATTTGTAGGAGTTTACCCAGAAGATGAGCTTAAATACAATCCTCAAGTACTTATAGATGTGACTCAAGTTGAAGACCTAACTGGTTATTACCTTGATCAAAATCTTGTAATACGAGCAGAAACCACACTTAGCCACTTACTAGAAATATTAAACACTGTGTCTAAACAAGAAGATAGCTTCAGTTATTTAAAAGTTTTGTACGATCATATTGTATTGGTTGCCCATATAGCAGTTCGAAATGTGAGTATATCTTTTTTTATTTGAATATTAGCTATTGTCCGCGCTTCGACAGCGTAGAATATGATTCCTGTTTTATCCCGTGGGAGCATTAATCGGGATAAAAAGTATCACCTAAGTCAGCCCACACCCTCACTGTATACCAAATTTCATGCCGCGGAGAACTTAACGGGTTACCGGGGCTCCAGCTCGAAGTGCAGGAGTAGGAACGGGATGATTTTTAGCCAGTAGGAGTCTGACACTCCCTCCCGCCTCACCCAGGCGGGAGAAGTAATTTGATGATATTCCCCTTTAAAAAAAAACAACTTTCATTAAAATCAGTTCAGTAATTTCCGCGTGGTTGACGGACACACATCCAAACAAAAAAAACTTACACATTTATAATATTAGTGTGATTATGTTTTGATTCCAACTCCAGGAATGGGCAATGTCAAGTTCAGTCTAGAATTGTGGCTATCATTTGGAAATTGCATTTTAATCAGCGATCATAGCCAATGATAAAAAGCTACAATTCCATATCGTCGAAATCGTCTATTTACTTACCCTTGCAAGAATATTAAAGGATTTAAAAATATATATTTTATATAAATATATATTTCTTAACAAAAAAAACTATGGTACCATTTCTGCTTAATGGCTTGGCTATGGAATTGAGTAATCCTTCAAAATAAGATTTTTTTTAATACAATATAACTATACTATAGAGGTACAGAATTATTTCAAAATGTCATGATTTCAGGTGGGCTCTATAGCCGGGAACTTGATGATAAAGCACAGACATAATGATTTTTCATCAGATTTGTTTCTGTTATTTGAAACTGTTGGTGCTGAGTTAACTATTAGTAAGTCTATCATTTTTAATTTTTTTATTTTATTGTTGATGGGCCGACGTTTGACCACTATCTCGCATGGTGGTAAGCGATGATGCGGTCTACGATGGAACACGTCGTCCCATAAGCAACCTATTCACTCGGGCTTTGAAGACACCCAAGATATACCCTAATTTGTAATTATTTTTCTTCATCGAAGTTATAGTTGATCGAAGATTATAATGCTATAAAAATGTTTTGTTCATAAAAACGTTCTTTAACATAACTTTAACTATCTCGAAACCGATATAAGTTTTTAACTACCCAATTTTAGTTTTTGAACATATTCTAGTTTTATCTCTTTTTAGACTATGAGGGTATTGCATTATTAAAGTTTGTCTTTAAAAAGAATTGCCTTAAAGTTTGGTAAATATTATAATTAGGCCGGTTTTTAAAGAAAAACCATGATTGGTTTAAACTTGAGTTATGTTTTATTGATACAGAGCCTCTTAATTTCAGTGTGTTCAAAAGGTAATACACAAATCGTAAACATGCAGGAATTCTTAAAGCTGAAGATGAAAGGGAAGCTGATTTTGAACGTAATGTTGCCGCCACTTAGCCAGGAGTACAAATTAGTTACTTACAAGGTACGAATTTTAACCTTCTACTAGATGATACTACCTCTAGTTATTTGATCATAGTTGTTACTGTATGGTGTAAAATTGGAGTTGACAATTTTTGAATTCTATTATTCTAATTTTGAAAACTCATTTCATTTTTATGCTAAACAAAAATATTAGTTTCAAAGGGCTTTAGTATATCGCAAATCTTAAAAAGACTCAATTTCTTTTTAATGTTACCCCACACTAAGATTTTTTCCTGTGTCTATCGACACAATTGAAATTGTTTCAGGTTTGGGTGTCAGATATGACACCCAAACCAACAATTTGTGGGTCACACAAAGAGTTGCGCTGCAGCCGGTTGGCCAGTTACCGAACCAATAGTATAGTCTTATTTGTCAAATTAAAAATTAACAAAACTATGTAACTAGAGAATTGTATTATGAACCTGATTGAAAAAGAGTAACCTATGGAGATTCTTGCTTGTTCTTCTCCATAGGAATCTACGCCTTGGATTTTTTTTAATGGCATAAGCCGGTAAACGAGCAGACGGATCACCTGATGGTAAGCAATAGACGTCGCCCATTGACACTTGGAACATCAGAGGCGTTACAAGTGCGTTACCGGCCTTTTGGGGATTAGGAGTTGATCATTGGGGATTCAGGAATTAGGAAAATTGGGGAAGGGGAGGGTTGGGCCTCCGGTAACCTCACTCACACGACGAAACACAACGCAAGCATTGCTTCACGTCGATTTTCTGTGAGGCCGTGGTATCACTCCGGTCGAGCCGGCCCATTCGTGCCGAAGCATGGCTCTCCCACACTTTATGGATTTAGAATGAGCAAATAGCTTCACTTTAAATTTTTATGTTGACGTTCAAAAGTGCCTTTCTGGCCCAATTGAAATAAATGATTTTGACTTTGACTTTGACTAATCAGACATTTTTTTTTTCAATATACAATGTTGAATTGGTCTTAAAATTAATCATTATTTTTTCAGATTATGCCTCGTTCTGAAAATGCACACGCTGTAGTCAATTCTGGATTTTTATACAAACTTAATCCCGATAACACTGTTGTTAACACCAGGATAACATTTGGTGGACTTTCGGCAAAATTCATTCGGGCTTTAGAAACAGAACAATTTCTAGTTGGGAAGCCATTATTCAAAAATGATATCTTACAAGAAGCTACCGAAATATTAAAATCTGAATTAGTTGTAACTGATAATCTTCCAGAATTTTCTGCTAAGTATAGAAGACAGCTGGCTGTAGGACTTTTCTATAAAGTAAGATTTTTTGATGGAACCTTAATTCAAATAACTTCAGGATCTGGGTAGTGGCTTGGCGACCAGCTGCCAAAATAAGAAATATACACATAAATGCTAAAACAATCCAGTCATTACTTTACACATTACTTTAGACTGCCTCGGTTGAAGTTGGCCGAGTGGTCGCAAGTGCCTCTCGCCTCACACGGGTGGGAGAAGTCATTCGATGATATCTCCCCCCTCAAAATAAAAGTGCCACTGCCAGGCAAGGGGATTCCGGGGTCGGACAAAGTATTACTGGGTTTTTAAAAAAATTCTCAGCAGTAGCACGGAGTCTGGAAACATGTCCGGTATATGGCAATAGGCTCACCCCCTATAATATGGGACTCATAATAATTATAAATAGTGAAAAGTAGGTGCTACATTATATAGTGGCATTATATGGTATAATGTGCACCTCTGTCTACCTCTTCGGGGATAAAAGGCATGATGTTATGTTATGTTTTAGACAATTCAAGTAATGTAAAGGCAAACTTGTGTTAAATCGATCTAAACCCCTTTAGAGGTATAGTTTAGTGGTCACTTTTTGAGAATATCCTCTAGAGTATTGAAGTAAGGAATTTACATTCTAGGGTCTGCTAGCTTTATGTCCGGATACTTTGATACACCCACGCTACAAATCAAGGGCAATCAAATTACATGAGACTAGACCGGTGTCTGAGGGTCGACAGATATTTGACACAATCCCCAGTTTATGGCCTATAAACCAGCCCATGCCGAAGATTGAAGGATTGGTGAGTCCACTTATAATAAAATTAACTAAAGCTTCGCTTGCAGCTTTACTCGGGTTACCGGAATATAAAAATAGGTATCTTGGTTAGGCTAGAATGTTAAGTCTAAGTTTGAATCATTGTATTTTTTCCTATAATTCAGACATCTAGTTTATATACACTTTCAAGAAAAATAACTTAAGCCTCACTGAAGACAGCACTGATTTATAATTCGACGGTTCTTTAGTTTTCATCGATCATAATAAACAAAATGTTCACTAAACTTATTACCTACTGCAATTTTCTGCCAATGTTTATAATTTCAGATACAATGCTCAGGTGAAGCGAAATATACTGATGACATTCCTACATTTCCCAGAGAAGTTCACGGCGCATTTGTTCTCAGCACTATTGGTAAAGGCCGTATCGTATCTATAGATCCTTCAAATGCTCTTGTAAGTCTCATTTAACTGTAGTAAACAGAATAATCAATTTTAATAATTTACCTTAATAAAATTATTTAATTTATAGAAACATCCAGGTGTAATAGCATTCTATTCAGCGAAAGATATCCCTGGCTTGAATTCCTTTACACCTAAAGACCTATATACGTATCATATGAACGAAGAAGTTTTCTGCAGCAGCGAAGTCAAATACTTCAACCAACCACTCGGTTTGATTGTAGCTGATAATCAAGACATTGCTTATGAAGCAGTTAATTTTGTTAAAGTAACTTACGCAAATCTAGAAAAGCCAGTAATTGATGTAGCCGAAGGTAAGAAGGATCCTGCAAGAAATACTTTGTACGCAGAAATCAAAGCAACAACAAGAGGTAACGATGTTGCTAAAGTTATCAAGGGAAGTAATACACTGAAAGCACAGAACTATTTTACTATGGAAACATTAGTTAGTTTAACAAATCCCATAGAAGAAGGGTTTGATGTGTACGCCACTACACAATGGCCAACAGTAATTCAACTGATGATATACCATGCATTGAAGGTAGATCAAAACAAGTTAGTATCTTTTATGTCATTTAGTACTATTGCTTTAAAAACCAAATTTATTTATTAATCGACTTAAAAAATGAGTTTCTCAGTTTATAATGTATGTATGTATGTTTGTGCGCGATTATCTTGCGTTTGGCTAAACCGATTTTGATGCGGCTTTTAGTACTTATATTAATTAACCGCCGTTAAAAGAGGGGTTGAAGTCAGTTTTTTTAAACGTATTTTATAAAAGTATTATTATTTGCCTTTTAAGGATTACTGTTCATGTTCGGCGTGTCGGTGGCGCATATGGATTTAAAATATCACGCTGTATACAAGTAGCGATAGCTTCCAGCTTAGTAGCATTGAAATTGAACCGACCCTGTAGAATAATAAATAGAATGGAAACAAATACGAGAGCCTATGGGAAAAGGTTTCCAAGTTCTGTTGACTATGAGGTATGATATGTATGATATGTGCGAGAATTGACATTACCGGGATAACCTGCAGCTGTAGCCAAATGCTATTTAGCGCTTGTCTACATGTAACAAGTGAAACAAGTGAATTTATTTCTGCAAATAGGCTACAAGGCAGCACTTTTACACGTCAATTTTATCAAGCGAACGATGAGGTCGATGGTGTAGAATAGAAAACCAAATTATATGGGATTGACGGAAATTTACTGACATCCCCATACATTTAGTTTTCTACCTTACTCTCTCTGTAGACAAGCGTTAAAGCGTTTGGCTAAAGGCACTGGAATAATCTGGAATAAACACAATGAAAAGATATAACAGCTTTTTGTTTTTCTTCTAGGTTAGCGTTAACAAATCAGGTATTTTCCAATACATTGACTACAGTCTGTATGAAGACAATGGTTACGGCTACAATGAAGAATTGTCTCGGTTAGGTGTCGTTGTGTATAATAACTGCTACAACCCTAGTACCTGGAACTATAAGTGCTATAACACTGTCACAGACACTGCCAAGAACACTTGGTTTCGGTCTCCAGGTAATTAAATATTTATAGCTTAAATTTTAATGTTGCTGTAACAATATAGAACTTTGTAACCATCCCATTCCAGGAAGCCTAGAAAACATAGCAATGGCTGAAATGATGATGGAACAAATATCTTATGAACTATCAATAAACCCAAATGAACTGCGACTTGCAAATCTAGATCCTCAGCACAACGATCTCAGAAAAATGTTTGAAACTCTAGCTTCTACAGCAGAATATACAACTAGGAGAACAGAAGTCAATAAATTCAATGCCGAAAACAGGTGGAAGAAACGAGGCCTCAGATTTGTATTCCTTAAATGGAATCATCGTTTTCCAAGATATTTTGACGTGAACCTTGTAGTATACCAGACAGACGGAACAGTCGCAATTAGCCATGGAGGAGTTGAAATGGGCCAAGGCATAAACACCAAAGCTGCACAAGTAGCTGCTTACAAACTAAATATTCCTGTAGAAAAAATTATAATTACTGAAACAAATACAATTTCATCTCCAAATGCATATGTTACTGGAGGGAGTCTTACAACGCAGAATATAATGATTGGAGTAGAAAGATGTTGTGACCAACTACTGCAAAGACTAGAACCAATTCGGAAGCAGATGAATAATCCTTCTTGGGAAGATTTGATAACGACAAGTTATGCTAATTTTGTAGACCTGCAAGCCCATGGGTTTGTTGATATAAATGATCAGCAAGATTATTTTGTTTATGGTGTCACATTGGCTGAAGTTGAGATAGACGTGATTACTGGGGAAATAGAAGTATTGAGAGTTGATGTCCATCACGATGTTGGACAAAGTGTAAACCCTGAGCTTGATGTAGGCCAGGTAATGTTTATTTTGATCACAACATTTTCAATGCGATTTTTGTGTCACTAGAGGTCATTTGAATTCATAATAAAATATTTTTGATCAAATTACTATACTCAGTTTATTTTACAAGAAAATTTATTGCGCTGATAGGACCTCCGATTTTACTACCATTAATTGCTGAGTCAAATATCGAAAGCTCTTATTTTTAAACATGTTTTCATTTTAAAAGATTGAAGGTGCTTTCATCATGGGTCTTGGGTACTGGACATCTGAGAATATGGTCTATGACCACAACACAGGGGAACTGCTCACTGATCGTACTTGGAACTACTACGTGCCACTAGCGAGAGACATACCACAGGACTTTAGAATCTATTTGAGAAAGAAGTCGTATACATCCAAAATTATATTTGGGTCTAAAGGTTCGTATACTGGAAAATTAAACTATTTAAAGGACATACACATTTATCGATTAAGAATTAAGGTTGATTTTCATAATGTCTTTTAGAGTAAGTGAATTATGAAACAAAGGATAGTGATATTCAATATTACTTTTGCCTGACTCAAGAGTAACCTATGGAGTTTCTTGCTCGTTCTTCTCCATAGGAATCTACACCTTGGAATGAGCAAATAGCTTCACTTTTAAATTTCTATTGCTGACGTTCATAAGTGCCTTCCTGGTCTAATTGAAATAAAAGATTTTTGACTTTGACTTTGACTTTGACTCAATCCAGAACTTCAAAATGGGTATCTGTTATCATGTTACTTAACACGTTCAACAAATCAAGACAATTCCTGGAACATATTCCTCAATTAACGAGAATATTTAATATTTATCGAGTTACTCTGTACACACTATTGCGGAAACGTTAGTAGTAAAATATAGGGAGCAACTAAACAGTATCAATATCATATTCAAGTTAGTTATTTTAACAGTTAAAGAGGAGCCTGTTAACCTCTTTGGCACGATGCCTTCTGATAGCGACAGTTTGCAAGATACCGTTTATTTTATTTGTAACGCATGAAATCAGTTGCAATGATTTCTTAAGTATTACTACACTATTTGGACTTGTATTCATTTTCTGTTATAGGTTCAAAATTGGTAAACTGGGTCCTTTATTTCTTTTTTATGGCATAAGCCGATAAACGATTGATTCATAAATACGCTTGCTTCTTGCATCGACCATTGTTTCTGTCTCTGCATCACCCAAAGGTCTGGCTGGAGGAAAATGCCCTAGTCATTAGTGTGTGCATGAAGTCTTTTAAAATAAAATAAAAAAATAAACGAGCAGACGGATCCGTCCGTCCGTCCGTCCGTCCGTTGATGGTAAGCGATCGGCGTCGCCCATGGACACCTGGAACACCATAGGCATTACAAGTGCGTTACCGGCCTTTTGGGGATTAGGAGTTTGAGGATCGTTAGGGATTCAGGAATTGGGGAGATTGGGGAAGGGGAGTGTAATTGGGCCTGAATAAAGCTTACATATTATACTTATTTGCTCTATATATATTTTCGTTCAAAGTCTAAACAAATTGGATTTATAAATTCAATATTTATTAATATTTTTCAGCATGCGCAGAAGCTCCTATCTGCATGTCAGTGTCGATACCGATAGCCATCCGAGAAGCTATTGTATCAGCTAGAGAAGAAGCTGGCTTACCTAGCAATCAATGGTTCAATATTGGTAAGTGTCATAAAAAAAATATTTATTTAAATATTGTACTAACGTTCCTCGTCGGCCAAGTGGTCGCAATTGCGACTGCTGGGGAAGGGGTTTCGGGTTCGATTCCCAGGTCGGGCAAAGTATTACTGAGCTTTTTTAAAAAAAACTCAGTAGTAGCACGAAGTCTGGAATTGTGCCCGGTATATGGCAATAGGCTCACCACCTAATACATGGGACTCATAACATAATTAGTGAAAAGTGGGTGTTACATTGTACAATGGCATTAAGTGCCGTAATGTATTCCTCTGCCTACCCCTTCGAGGATAAAGGCGTGATGTTATGTTATGTACTAACGTTTTTATAACTTCACAAGTAACATTATAGCAATAATAATGAAATGTTTTTGCAGATGGTCCATACACAGTGGAAAAAATATGCTTAAATTGTGAAACCAACACTAAAGACTTCAAATTCAACTGAAACCCTCAAAAAAGCAATTGAAAATACTTCCATAAGAATGTTATTGAAAATTGCTTTGGAACACATCGTAGGTACTTTTTTTAAACTGTATATCGCAGTGCGGCGATAGAAAAATCATATTTCTATCTGAGACAGTGAGGAAGAGGCTGCGATATATTGCACCGAGCTACCCTCGAGTTTCTCATTTTACTAAGACTTCACCTGAAGTGTATTGTGTAATATTTTATTGACAATGATGTATAGGAATATTGGAGTGCATACCTATAATGTATTCATGTAAAATGTAAATATATTTTTATGTGAACACCATGACAATTTTATTAACTTGTAAAATAATACTGCTAATACTGGATGCCTTGTTGGCCAAGTGGTCGCAAGTGCGACTGCCGGGCAAGGGGTCTTGGGTTCGATTCCCGGGTCGGGCAGAGTATTACGGGGCTTTTTCAAAAAATCTCAGTAGTAGCACGGAGTCTGGAATTGTGCCCGGTGTATGGCAATAGGCTCACCCCCTATTACATGGGACTCATAACATAATTAGTGAAAAGTGGGTGTTACATTGTACAATGGCATTAAGTGCCGTAATGTATACCTCTGCCTACCCCTTCGAGGATAAAAGGATGATGTTATGTTATGTTACGTAAAATAATAATTTATCCCTTAAGATTGTATTTAAAAAGGTTCAGGTTTGTCACAGAACGCTTCTGATTCATTTCTGTTCAACGTATTCATTGGTCAGTTTTTATGAGGCCGGCGTCAAAATATATCACGACCCAAATGTGTTGTAAAGAACATACAGCTAAAAGAGGCTAAAATAACTTTTATTACAACATAAAGTACAGCTAGTCTAAAACAGACATTAACAAAGAAACTTAAATTTAATATTAATAAAGAATACCTTAACCTGTCTTACTTGTACGAAGTCTTTTCTGCCGGTTTCTCAAAATTAGGGACGTTAATCTCAACGTTGTCTATCTTCTTTTGGACTTCTTCCAACTCTTTCAACTGCCTTTCCCTAGAATCTTCTCTCTTGCTTCTAGTGGTTTCTGGAACTTCACGGTGAATGCTACATTCTTCCTTCTTAAATTCTTTACATTATTTTTTATTTTTGCTTCAGGTGATATGTTTTGGTAGTATTGCCTGCTATTATGTAACACTCTTCTGGAAGCTTTCTTGCGTCTCTCATTTTGTGCCAAGCTGGCCAAAAATTTCTTCTTGCAAACTGGACATAGCTTGTCTTCGAACGATCTCTTTATCTTATAGTGACCAAATATCTCGTCTCCGATCTTAGGCTCGTCCGGATACTTTGACCCCTTTTTAGAACAATTGAAACAGAATAGCTTTCTCTTTTTGTTTTTCTTTGGCTTCAAGGGTTCAGATTTGTTATGGGAAAAAAACGGGAACTTTATATTTTTTAGGGTGCTGAAATGTACGAAAAGTGTTAATTCTTAGGAAGAATAGGAATTACAGGTATAATACATAGGAATCAACTTTGATTTTTTATATGTATAATGTTATCTACATATATTTTAATTCAATAGCAGCAATGGCATAAGCAACTCATTACTGTAACTTACCACTTCTTTTCGTGGCTGTGGACAACGTTTTGATCCATCAATAAATCATCTTTGTAAATGTTCCTGAATTTCATTTCCGTACTTCTGACTATAAAGATCATCTATTGATTTGTAGCCGAGGTGTTTTGGGTTGACTGAGAGAGAGTTTGCGTTTTAAGAATTTCAGGGTTGAAGTTCAAATTTGGAGAAGCGTCACTCATGGTCAGGTAGTCTGGAGTCCGATCTCGTTTCTTGTCATCAACATTCAGACCCAGTAAGGAGCCGTAGTCGTAATTCTTTGAATTTTTTCTGGGAACAAGGATATCAGTTACAAGTAGTTGTTTTAACTGTTTAGTTTCACTGTTATTAAGGCTGACTTCTACCTTGGTCAAAGGTCAAGCATTGCCATCCAACGTGGCAACATAGCCTTGTGGGGTTCTTAGGGGCGTGGAATAAAGTTCGACATACAATTGACTGTAAAACTGTATATATTGGATTAAAACTTTAAACTAAACATAACAAAGTAGCGAAATAATACAAGAACTCAGATTATTCGCGGCATAAATACGGGGCGCGTGCGTCCCAGCTCCGGCGGCGACGGCAGGACTCATTGTTTTGTAACGCTCTACGCAAGCGTCGAGCGGTCAGTGGCGGGTAAGCGGGGGAAGAGGTATAGTGAGGTGGTGTGTTGCAACTAATTGTGCGCGTGCGTCCGACACAAACCGAAATCGAATTGCCGCGTTACATTATCTTTTAGTTTTCTCTATAAATATTAATTCCGTATTTTAAGGCGTTCATATTTTTTTTCTTATTTCTTAAAGTAACAGTATTTATGTTATGTAACCAAAAGTAGAATAAAATATGTCTTAAGTTGATTACTTGAACTTTTATGGAATACTGTTCCACGAGAAATACACGACGAGTGGCTTTAATGTGTCAAAAAGGCATCTAACTGTCTGTCAAAATCATTGACATTAAAAATTTAAAACAAATTTTGAATATCAAACTGATGATTTTCAAACTGTTACCATACGTACCGCTTATTATTCCTTTGCCTCATCGATATACCATCTTCTTCGACGAGGTCATCATCAGGTTGTATGAAACTGGCCACATCAAACTCTACCGGACTTCTGTCATAATCATACTCATGACGGATGAGGCTCTTCCGTTCCTTTGGTCTTTTTGCCCTTCTGACACGATCTCTTCTGGCGTACCGCCCTAATTGTTACCTTTGCTTTCTGCGGCATCATCCAAATAGTTATAACAAAAGGATAATTCGATACATAATATCAAACTTAGTATATAAAGAAGTCGTAACATCGTCTCGTGACATGACCGTCGATCATGACGGTGTCAGTTTTTTGTTTTGCAATATGGCCAGAATTATTTTTATACTTTTTCTTGTATGCACATCAAACCTCCTTACAGTTTCAGTATTTTCTTGTTGTATGTTTCGATTTCTTCTGAACTATTAATGTATTCACTGTATCCCGTATTAAATGATGTACTACGATGTCGTAGGTAGCTTTACTGTTGTTAAATTTTAAAAAAATGCCATAATCATTAAAAAATTACGTTTTGTGTATTTGAATAAAACTCCTTACTTTTAACAAACACTGCTGGCTGCACCACATTTTTGTTTTTCCTATAAATGAAACATAATGAATCAAAATCTTGGCGACGTCTACCGAGAATTTTGTTGTTGGTATATGAAGCACGTGAACGACATGTGAATGACGAGTACATTGAGGTACTTGTTTTCATGAAATCGAATAAAAATATAGTTATATATGATTACATATGAACAGCGCATCAAAGTGCGGCAATGTGTTAAGATTCCATAATCGATTTCTAACTTTATTACAAAGGTGAAAAAGTTATTAACGTATTAAAGAAATTACAATTGGAGTATTGTTTATATATCAGGATCACGTTTCCATACCAAGGCTAAGTAAACCGCTGAGCCAGCTTCAGTTGTTACTTCGTTTTACTTAATGCATTGACGTCAATTGAAAATCCTCATAAGCATTTCCGGCTATGTATGAATTAGTTCTGTTTAAGCGTTTTTGATGTGGACACTTTCTATTCTAACTCTGTATTTTATATTATTTATTTAAAGTTCCAGTAATCGAAATAATAGTTTTTTGTCCCTAAGATCCCACATAACAGTACCTTAATCTGCTACTTCTATACATATTTTCTAAAGGACGAGAGATCTGTTCTTCCGGGGAGTTAGTCCTACAATTTATGACAGCCGTTAATCTACGCCAGGCAAAGGGTTTTAAGTCGAAACTTTCCGCCATTGCCCTTATGTTTGCCTGTTATGATGACCTTGTGTACTTTTTTTTTATTGCAACATAGCACATTAAAATACCTTATGTTTTTTTTTGTAATGAACATAACACATAACATAACATCACGCCTTTTATCCTCAAAGGGGTAGGCAGAGGTGCACATTATGCCACTGTACAATGTAACACCCACTTTTCACTATTTATGTTACGAGTCCCATATAATAGGGGGTGAGCCTATTGCCATATACCGGGCACAGTTCCAGACTCCGTGCTACTACTGAGATTTTTTTTTAAAACTCAGTAATACTTTGCCCGACCCGGGAATCGAACCCGAGACCCCTTGCTCGGCAGTCGCAATTGCGACCACTCGGCCAACGAGGCAGTTTTTTTGTAATGATACCTTGCTATAGGTAGTTATTTAGTACCATCACGTAGCACCAAGTGGTATTTGAAGCAAAACCAAACACTATCTAACATCAGACTAAGCAAAAGAAAAAAACTGCGATCTAGGTTCAAAAATAATAAGGAAAATTAAGAGTTTCAAAACGTTTCCAAGCGATATGACGAAGTATATTTAGCTTGACAGTTTCCTACATCTGCCGACACTGCTTACAGTATCTAGCAGCAATCAAGTAAGCGAATTAAGCGGTTATGTCCAATAATAACGTCTCGTAGTGAACACGTCACTAGGATACGCCCCGTCGCTAATGAGATTCCGACCTTTGTTAGAAATCACGGGACGGAGACGATGCGATATCGTTAGGTTTATATAGTCTATTTGTTGCAATTGATTTTGAGTTTAGTCTAGTCTATTAGGTACCCATTAAAATCTATGAGTACTAAGTCGAATCAGGTGAAGTGTTATTAAGTTCTGATTTTTTTAATTCATAATAATTTTTAGATAAAAAATAACATTCTTTTGTGTGCAGTGAAATTGACGAAAAATGAGACTGTCCCTTTCGAAATTTACGGCAAGAATTTTCATTTTGTTTATTGACAATAACCAGATTCAGTTTCATAGCAATTTGATCAGCACACACTAAAAAAAATTAAGAACAGGCAGTGCAAGTGTGGGAGTGCCATGCTTCGGCACGAATCGATCGGCTCGACCGGAGTCATACCACGGCCGACCAGAAAACTGACGTGAAAC